ATAGTGGCGCGTAACACTATTTTTAATAGAATATGGATGACAAACGAGCGTACAGTCCACCTCATGGTAATCAAATCCAGGTTCATAGACATTCAAGCGATGACTGACAATTTTTTTAAAATGTTATACATAATATTCAAAACCCCTACAAAAATATTGAAGTGTGGTAAAGGAATTGCACATTATTTATTTTTGCACTTACATGGTGGGTGACTGCCAAACTCCATCCTCATATTCAACTGCCTCACCATCACAACTTTTATTTATATGCAATATAAAAGTTGTATAACAATTTTCAGCCTTAGTAAATTCATTATATTACCTCGGCAGGTACATGACAAAATTTTATATGATATCTTTAATAGCGCACCTTAGTCACCCGTTATAAGTTTTGCTTACCTGACCAGTTAGACTGACTGCAGTGTATTTGTGTACACAACCATTGTAATGAACTATTAAAAAACTAGCCTTAGTAAATTCAAACATATTATTTTGTTTGTTTGTCATCATCAATATTACATCATTCAAACTAAACGAAGTGGGAGCTTTTCTGCAGGGCTCCTTATCGTTAAAACGTAGGCTTCTTATTGACCATAGGTGTTATGTGAAGTTAAATAAAACTATTCTTTTTACAAGAAACAAGAGCTGCTTTGTGGAGTGTAGCTTGTAGGGCAGCGTGGCGTTATAAGGAGATGACTGCTGAGCGAGTAATGTCAGAGGTCAGTCATAGCGTGTCTTTTATTTTGTACGTTCAGTTGAACAACTCGTGTGGGCGTCTGTGAGACACACATGCTCTATTCGACCAATGAGCGGATAGGAGGGGAGGATTGCAGGGTGTGTGTTGAGTGTGATTTATCATTTATTTTACAATCATACATTTGTCACACAATTTATCGACATACAAAAATTCTTTATAAGCATACAGACAATAATTAAAAAGTATATAACAAACACTATAAAGACATACAACAATTCCTCAAATAAAAGACATTAAAATATTAATAAGCTTACGTACTAGACAACTGTAAACATACGTGACTAAAACCTAAATAACTACATAGATTGTATTAAAAGACATTCACATTAATAATGTCTTAAATCTAGGCTGTTATTTACACGAACTGTTTCATCAAAATGCATGATAACATCGATTTGTGTTACGTAAAAGATGGAGGTTTCCTATCACAAAAGATGGAGGTTTATTATTCAATTTGGCGCGAAGTAACTATTAAGCGAGCTTTTATGAGCAATCGTCAAATGTCAGATAGCTTATAGGACAGTTGGCAAACTATTTTGCATATATTTCTATGCTTTATTATTTTTATAATAGCAAAAACTAATTTTTGATTTTATAGTTATCAACAAAGGACACCTTATTAAAGCCAAGTAGAGTAGGTACTTAAAAAGCTATAATAATCTATTTAATTATTTAATGCGCGCACAATCGAAGTGCACGGCAAAACAGCCGAAAGAGTCGAATTTTTTAATTCTTTGTATTAAATATATTTTAAGTTGTTATAAATTTGTATTTTCCTTAAAAAAAGTAAAATAATAATCATGTATAATCAGTGTAGTGAAAGTTAACCTTTGAAGAGTGATATTGTCAATAAACACAATTCTATTCTTATCCTGCGCACATATAACTAGGAAAATATTTTTTAAAGTATTTTACTTTTGTTTTAAAGTTCAACATAGAAAAAATAGTTAACGTACTTATAACCACTAGGTATATCATTTCTTATTTAAATAATACTTCAGTCGGAAAGTTTTATGCATTTGATTCTGTTAGTTAGCTTATTGACTTAAGTAATTTCAACCACATTCTTTCGGATTAAAAAAAAAACAATTAATTAACAATAGATTTAAAATCAATACAACACTATTATTTTCACTAGATACTCAACGTCAAAAAATCTTAAATGAACGTATAAAATATTATTTACACTTTTATTTTCAAAATAAAATTCTTTATCTTAGATTACTCTAGTCGGGTAGTTGACAATTACATGTCGATTGTTATGATTTTTATGAGCTGTCAAAATTAGCCTTCTTTAGAAATTGTAGGGAATACGAATTAATAATGTCATAGTTTCTTGTAGTCAAACAAACACCTTATGCCCGTGAGTAACGATCAAGTTTAACCATCCAGTTTGCAGTGGACTTGACGCTTGATTCAGTAAACTTGACCGGAAATTGCTGTTAGCTTGCACGATACGTCTATTTGAGTGGAAGAAACACTTTTGAAAAACTTATAACATGTTCTTCGAAAGTGATATAAATCTCAAGATTCTAATCAGCATAAGTTGCTTGAGATACTACCGTCATCAATGAGGGTATCCACGACTTTTTCTGTCACCAAGACAGCGCAACCTAAAAGTGAGGTATAATATTTGACGGATTTCATAGCGAGGAAGTTTATTTGATCGGAAAATGTAAAGATTCATGTTTCTTTTTGTACTATTAGCTATATTTAATATTAATAAGAATAAAAATAAATAAACCAAATAATATACTAGACATCAACAAATACTATTGATAAAAGTGGATTTTTATTTTGAAAAGATAAAAATGTGCAAAAAATTAAAAAGCAAACCATTAGACATTGTTTTGTGTATTAATAATATATTAATACACAAAACAATACTCTAGAAACTGATAAACTTTTATAAAATACTAACTTCTCAATTAAATGACAATGTGTAACAAAAAACTTTACCTCAATGTCAACTAATGACATCTGATGAGCAGAAAATTATTAGTGAAGGCTAATTGTTGACTGGGTTAAACTTTCGTCAAAATTTCTCAATGCTTTGTGATTCATTAGCATATTGTGTATAAATTGTAAAAAAATACACAAATGTGTATATTTGGCCGTATGGTCGAAGACCGTCACCTACCGACCTGCTTTAAATTGGGAAATTATAAGAATATCAATAACTCTTTGAATTTTGGTGAAAGGTGAAGCAGCATGACAGATACGGATGTGACATTGAGTGAAAAAAATCGATTAATAAAAAATCGATTTTTTGCTTTGTGATAATAATCGATTTAAGAAAAATCGATTTTTTTATAAAAAAATAATCGATTTTTGCGGAAAAAAAGTTTTATTCGAAAAATAATCTTTTGGCTTTAGAAATAAACTACAGAACAATTTTTTTAACATATAACTGAACAATAAAAAACTAAAAATAATTACTGCCACAAATGTTCAGTGCCATTTAACAATTTATTACAACCAAAATAAACAGAAACGATAAATAAAACTAAGTTTTACGGATTTTATCGCATTTAATTTAACTTTATAATTCCCGACATTTCAGGTGCATTACAGCACGCATGGTCACAAAAGGGACTGAGGTGTTTGGCGTCCCTATGTCATAGTTGAACTACAAATCCTCGCAAAAGAACACCGATTCCTACCAAAGATGATTCGCGAGGCTATCGAAATTAAAAAACATCCTAATTTCAATAGAGAAGATGGGTGGGTGCTGCCATCTGCTTGGCATCCTATAATTAATAAAATTAAATCCAAACTCAAGCATACCACTGTAACTGTAAGACTTCAAGATACTGTAAGCTCATTCTGCGTAGATCAAACCAAAAATTAATATTCAAAATTTGAATTTAGCCAGGCTAACTATGACATCTGGACGTCAAAGACCTCAGTTCCCCCCGTGACCATGGGTGCTGTGAAGCACCCGAAAGGTCAGGAATTAAAAAGTTAAATTAAGCGTGATCAAATCCGTAAAAATTAATTTCATTTAATGTGTAGTCTACGCGTAAATATAAGAAATCATTAAGAAACCATAATTTTAGTAAACGATAGTTATTTTTAAACTAAGTTTCAACAAACAAAAAGTCTAAATATCATTATGCCACTAATGTTCAGTATCATTTACATTGGATTAGAATGAAAAGAAAATAAAAATATAATTATAAATAATCCGACGACAACCTTTTGATCTCAAAACTAAAATACAAGACAAATCTTTTTTTAAACTTGTGTAAACAAAAAAAGTAAAAAAAATATTGCCATGAATTTTCAGTTAAAGACTTTAAAAACAACATTTCATCAAAATTCTTCTTCGTCTCTTTCCCAAAATACGGTTTCGTTTTTTCCTGACAATATTTCTCGCTTTCAAAAATAATCTTTCGGCTGGTGCGGAAGTGGCCATCACTGAGAGGTGCTTAAAAGCCAATTCAGTTAATTTAGGGAAAGTTCCTTCAGAGCTTCTCCATATATTGAGGGCATCTGCCTCAGTATTTTTGCCTATTAACGTGTTGGCCGCTATCATTTTTTCATTATAAAATACTTCTGTCAGTCACTTTTAGGCGTTTCACAAGACATTTTTATTGTTTATATATAATTGTTTACACTAACCAAAGAAAGAAAGAAAACCACAGAATACTTTTACTCCTAGCGGAGGAAGAAACCTGTTGAAAACATACGAAAAGCGAAACTGTTTTGCATACATAGAGATACATAAAGGTGGCGGCGTCTTTGGATTGACTTATTCATGTTATTGAATTTACTTCACGTTTTTACATCCATCGCACAGATGACTCTGATTACAAAAATCGATTGAAACGCGTAATTTACATAAAAATCGATTTATTAAAAATCGATTTTTATTATAAAAATAATCGACTTCGAAAAATCGATTATAAGAAAAAAATAATCGATTTATATGAAAATCGATTATTTTTTCACATCCCTAATGACAGACAGATGACTGCATGACTGCAGATGACAGTCAATGACAGTGACATACCCACTAAACATTTTACCATTTCACAATATCATAATCAAAATAAGTGGAGAGTGTGGACGCTAGACAGTCGTTCTAATAACTGAATACTGAAGATAAATTTTAGTTCATTATAAAACAAGAGTTCTATTTTTTACATGATGTTGTGATATTTATGAAAACAGGACTGTTAAGTATTCTTTTAAATTAAAATTTCAGACCTTTCGTTTCCTTTTTTTTCATACTGAAAAAATGAATAACAAGGAAAACACAGACCTAGCTCATCGGCAGCATGTAAAATATTTTATGAGATTTTTGAATATTTTGCCTTCCTCACTGTCGTCACATGATACAACCAGGTAAAGTAGCATGAACCAGTTATTCTTATTTTGAACTAACCAAAATTTTTTACACTGCATTTTTGTATATTTTTAATCAAATATAAAACATTCTGGATACATTTTTAATACTAAATTTGTTTTTAAACCTATAGCATATTAAAAATATAAAATAATATATATATAAAATTCTAAATTGTGTAAGAGGTAATCGATGCAATTTTAAGTATTTGATTTTTGTTGTTATATGTTGTCATAGAAGACTCATTTTTATGTACTAAGTAAACTTAGGTACAAGTAAATGACTTCAGAACTTTGGCTAAGCTTAAAGGATCTGCATTAATTGTCATGCCTAGAATGCATTTTGAACTACTGTCTAGTATTGCTTTAGATATTCAATGATTTGAACAGTTTTGAGATGGCTTAAACTGTTTTTGGTTTGGGTTGAATTAAATAAAGTATGTCATTTCAATAGATCGGTTACAATCACTAACAAATTGAAAGTATTAATCACAGCATAGAAAATTCTAACTTATTAATACAGTAGTGTGAGCAATGAGTTTACGATTAAAAAACATAATTTGGGCTCTTGCATTAAATTTAGTAATTAAGGATTTTTGAATCTGAGCTTCAAGTTTGGTTCAAGTTAATGTTGTCACTGGGCTTGTAATTATATTTTTATATAAGTAAAAGTGACAAGTGATAAAATTAAAAACTTTGTATAACCGACTTCATATAAATAAAATGAGAACATCAATGTAGTTGAAGTCAATTAAATATGCATTATTAAGGGTAAATCAATAACTACTGGTCAGATCTTGATCACATTTATATGGGACCACATGAGAAGTACCAGCTTTCAAATAATGAGAATCATCAAAATTGTTTCACCTATAAAAGTTCTGAGGTAACACACATAAAAAAACCAGTAGAATTGAGAACCTCCTTCCTTTTTGAAGTTGGTTAAAAAGAGCACATAGTCTACCTGCTGGTAAGTGTTCTCACCATACTGAGGAATAAGATGGAATGACCTAAAATAAATATAATAATTTTCATATAATAGCTTTTGATAAAAGTTGAGGCATTAAATTAAAATTCTTCTAAATTTTATGTCTTAGCATCAACTGCAGAAGTGTGGAATATTTTTCTACCCTCACTATGTCAATGTCTACTACATAAAAAATATAAGCTATTTATTTTCATCGCAATACCTGCCTTAAAGTCCAATTCAAGGCAAATTGTAAAAAAAATCACATTGACAGCTTGTTTAATTTTTTAATCATATAATATTCCATAGGCAACAAAAGCCATTTTCCTCAATTATTATTTTGTTTGTAAAACCGTCCATCACAAAATAAATGTGAAATATCTACTGTGGGTGTAAAATTTTTCAAACAAAATATTTTACATTTTTGTAAAGTATGTTTTAACTCTTTTCAGGGTAACAATAGCATATTTCTCTGTAGCCGGTTTGGATGTGTTAGGATCCATAGCATCAATTTCCTTAGATCTACGGTCTAGAATTATTGAGTGGCTTTACTTACTGCAAGTCCATCCAAACAAAGAAAGTAAGTTTTTTTATAATAACTTTTTTAAATTGATGGACTATTTCTTCATGCTTTCTTTAATAGAATTAAATCCATAAATGAACACAGTTGACCTGATGGAAGAGGATACGAGAGCCGATAGACACCTATATCTATTCTCGATTAAAGGTCAGAATGCAGATGCATTATAACTAGAGATGAAACGGATATCCGGTAACTATCTGGTATCCGGCCTATCCGGCCCTAATTACTATTCGGCCGGATACCGGATAACAAACTGCTATCCGGCCGGATACCGGATAAAAAAATACAAAATATCAAATTTAGTTAAGTACTTTATTTAGGTCACTTAACAAATAGAATCAGTAATCACAAAATTTTCATTTTAAATCTTAGATATTTAGTACTCGTACTGCACTAAGGGCAAATTATAGAGAATATATACTAGTTTCTCCGCATTGAAAGGTAACAAGCGGTTTCGCCTGTCTTCATAAACAAGGCCAGCTTCAGAAAAAAGTCTTTCGCTGTACACACTGCTGCAGGGAGCTGAAAGATAGATTTTGGCAAACTTCGATAAATTGGGATATTGTGTAGCATTAGCTGCCTACCAAATATAAGGGTCATGATCGCGAGCAATTCGCACTGACTTTAGATACAAATCAATTTTGTGAAATCTCGTTTTTTTCCTCATGGTAGACTGGCTAGTATTATTTTCATTTCCAATTTCTAGGATTGTTTCAATGAAGTAATCCCAGAACGTGTAATGAGCTTCGCGAGATACAGCTGACTCTGTCTCCTCTCCTACTTTTTTAGCCGGTGTTGTCGATGAACTGGAGGACTCTTCGCTAGTAGACATTTTTAAGTATTTCAGTAGAATTTCCTGGCAAGCTCTTTCAGCTTCAACTACGTGAAATTTTAACATTGCATAGTAAACAAACAGCAAGCTTAGGATCACCACTGTCTATATCAAAATGTTCCCATAAAAGCGATCTTTCCTTTATCGATGTCATTTTGTCGTTAAATTTGTTAAGAATTATAAAAATCAAATAACAGAGCATGTATTTTAATAACCTCAAACGATCGTGTTTGCAATCAATAGAATTCAATGAACCAATTGCTAACTTCGCTCATGAACGAAAAGACCCGAAGTCGCCCAAGTACCGCGTGCACACGATCACCACCACTAGCGCCACCTACGCAACTCCGCTGCTTGCGATTCACTAAACGGCAATGTTCGGCCGAATATCCGGCGGCCGGATATCCGGCTATCCGGCGATAAGACTGGCCGAATATCCGGTATCCGGTATCCGGCCAAACAGCTATCCGTTTCATCTCCAATTATAACCCCTGAGGACTAGGATAGATTGCCTCTTTATTAGCAATTTTTTTGGGGGATTTTCAAAATGTTCATTCTGTAACTTAATCTTTTTGTACATTTAAGACAAATTTGAGTAATTTTGGCATAAGCTTTACAAATCTTAGGGTAATTAGATTCTCCATAAGTTAGAGAAGTTTACACAAAAATTACTCCAATTCACTTAAATGGCATGTGGAGTAAAATAAAATTATATATAGGTATGATTATTAAATTTTATTTTTTATTTCATTCTCGATATTTGAAAGTGAAAACTTTTAAGACTTATTTATAAGGCAGATTTTTTTACAAAACAATAATATTTATATATGTATTATGTATGTTATGTTAAGGTAAATAATTATACAATAGCAAAATTGTCATCATGATAACTACATTCAGCCCAAATATGTAATTCCAAACACGGGCCATCAGCGGTGGATCGGAGTGGAGTAACTATGCGCAGGCGTTCCCCTCTGTCAAAGTGTAAGTCCATGCGGTCCTATTCGTACAATAAAATTATTTGCAGCCGCACTGCTTACTATATTAAATCTAGTTGCGCGACTAAATCCTACAAAAATGCCGAATTGTTTTTTTTTGCTGCAATAAGATATCTGCCACGTCAAATTTACAAAAAGATGGCGTTTGCATTTCATTCCGCTCAGACCGCTCGCCCTCATAGAATATGCAGTCTGTATCCGAGTTGTCGCTGTCACCGAGCGATACTGTTATAATGTACCTATATGTGTAGTGTGTGTGTGAAATTGTTAGTTTATTGTTTTAATTATTATGTGTGAGTTTCATAGTGACAGTCGATTGTGAATGAAATGTGAACGAAACTGAATACTTTATCAGTTTCACAAATTTCTTAAAGAGATTTTTATATTTTTCATATTTATAGAACGCGGCGCGCAACACGGGCTACCGTCGGACAGAAGGGGAGTAGCCATAGCGACTTTGCCCGATACAGACTTTGCCCGATACACAACTGTCTGTCATTTTTGCGGGGGGAAATCTGTGCACACAAACAATCGTCTGTCACTATAAAACTGATACATAACAATTTGAACAATAAATTAACAATTTCACACAAATACATATAGATACGTTATAACAATATCGCTTGGTTACAGCGACAACTCTGATATAGACTCGGATCTGTCGCTCGATCGATCTGCATATTTTATGACGGCGTTTTTAAGTTTCAAAAGAAGTATATAGCAATAATGTGATTAAAATTACTTATATATGTAAGGTGACGTCACCGTTTTGTAAATTTGGCGTGGCAGATCTCTTTTTGCAGGAACTGAACAATTCTCCATTTTTGAAGGATGTCGTTAGATTTAGTCTAGTGCGCAAAGCACCGCGTGTACTTATATTTTGACTAAAGGTACTGTGATTTTGACAGCGTATGGCTTGTTCGCGCAAAACTCTGTTGTCGGAATCGACACCAGATGTCACTCGGCTCGGCGCGATTCCGGTCTGAAGTTCTTCCGAGCGTGGCAGTGGCGCGCGGGTCGCAAGCGAGTCAGTCATCTGCCAGATGTGCTAATGTTTGCACGCTGTTAATTTTGTGCGGGAACCGCGGAATAGTTAGGGCGTCTAGTAAATATCCTGTCTAGGAATTATAACGCGCATTCCCTGTTTGGATAGCCTTTCCCGGGACTTATTGGGTCCGACTCAGAATCTGTATAAGTGCATTCGACAATATAAGCTAGTGCGGCCTCTGTATTTGGAACTATCTGTTGCCACGCGAAACGGTAGTGACCTTTGACCCAGAACCTCCGGGCGTGTTTTGTGCGGTAACCTTATACCCCGCGATAGTTAGTGGCTTCTGTAAGCTAGTTAATAGTACGATAGAATTAAGTGACTGTCATCGTGGTGAACCAAGAAAGTGACTGTGGATAACCTCGAAAGGCCCCCTCAAGTTGGAGCTGTGTCGACGCTCGGGCTGCTGCCGACGGCTAAGGTCTAGGTTCAATCACCATCAGTCACACCCAGATACACACCACATCACCATTCTTCCCTTGCACTACACAACCACATGCGACCTGACCGACTCCGGAGGGACCAGTCGCCTTGGATAGAGGTAAGTGAACTCCGCCAAATTCCTTCCGGTCGACTGGCCGTAGTATAACGCTCCCCCATATATTTAGTGTAATTAGAGAGATTCCACGTGGCACATTGAGCCCGACCTACATCTGCTCGGGAGGACTTCAGCTCATGGGCCCCTGGGGATCTGATCCTTTAAGGGAGCAGCCGTAGGCCGTAACAAACTGGTAGCAGAGCGTGGTTCCGGGTTCGATTCCCCGGTCGATCCCGACCATAGTGTTTGATAAACATTAAACAATTCTGGTGGCAGGGAGCGTTGGTTTGATTGGTTTAATTTGTATCTACAATCACGCCCGTCCGTAATACGTAAAAATATTTTTTTTTGTACGTAATAATAGAATTATTTCCCTTTATTCTTTGTTGCTTGCCTTTTTTTGGTTAGTGGGTAGATTTGAAAAGCCGCGCCCTAGGTTGCGCAAGCGGGAGTTTTCTAGAGATATACGTCATGTAGGTAGATGGTTATTTTTACGTAATCGGTTAATTATCGTTGTCGGATAGTTGTAGTGGATTACTTATCGAAGGGTCGATTTCCGAGCTAGGCATTTTTTGTTGATCGACTGTGATGTGTATCTTCGTTTATACTGTAATTTGTATTTGAACTAAAGAGTAATAATTGTATTTGCGCAATTTGAATTTAACTTGATTTGATCGCACTAGTATTTGTTATTTGTTAATTTGATTGTGTCTTTTCTTTTGTGCTAACTTGTATTTGGTTGATACGGTGGTAACGCCCTACAGCAGTTTTTTGCTGTTGCACGTGTGGGCCGGCTCGAGCCGGGTTGGTACCACGACCTCACAGAATACCGGCGTGAAGTAGAGGCTCTGCTTCTGCGTTTCGTCTGGTGAGTGCAGGTGGCCGGAGGCCCAATTCCCCCCCCCCATCAACATGGTAGCGGAATTAGACAATAGACTACCCCAGGAGGGTACCAGTACCCCTGGAGAATCCCTCGCTGAGCATCCACGACCATGTTATTCCAATCCTGAGCGTGGGTGCTCAGGCTGCCCCGCGTATTCTGGGGGGGGGGCAAAATTCCGCTCAAAAACAAAACTGCTCGGGGCAAGCTGAGCAACAATACCAAGGCGACCCCTGCCACGCTATCCGTGAATTTCTGCAACATCAGGGGACTTCACTGTAACCTAAACGCCGTCCACTACCATCTCGAGACGGCGAAGCCGGCCTTGCTCTTTTTGACCGAGACGCAGGTTTCCTCTCCGACTGATATTTCGTATCTCTCCTACCCGGGGTACAAATTGGAGCACTCCTTTGTGCCTCGGGCTGGAGTTTGCGTGTATGTTAGAGAGGACATCTGTTCTCGACGCCTCGGCAGTCTTGAAGGTTCGGACCTGTCCATCCTTTGGCTACGCGTAGACAGCGACGACCATCCGCGCGTCTACGGGTGCCTCTATAGGTCCCATAGCGGTAATGCCGAAACAGACCGACTCATCGACCACGTCCAAATGGCTACAGATTCCTTGCTACAACAGGTCCCATCCGCAGAGATCGTGATCCTTGGCGATTTTAACGCCCACCATGCCGAATGGCTCGGTTCACGTT